AAAGAAAGAAAGAAAGAAAGAAAGAAAGAAAGAAAGAAAGAAAGAAAGAAAGAAAAGGCCAACCTGCCCTGCCCATCCCTGGTGTTGTCTTTCAGGACTCCTTGATAACAAAGTATGTGTGCATAGGCTTGTGGCAACATGGAAGTTACAGATCTTGGATTGTAACAAAAACAGTGAACATTCATGGGATGTTTCCTAAGTGTAGACATGGACCTAGGCACTTTAATGTTGTTAGGTCACACTCCCAGCGGGGCTTCCAGAAGGTTAAATCAGGCCTGCCAGCATGTGGGTGTCTGGTATGTAATCCAGTGCCACGAGAAAGAAGCAAAGAATCACACAGAAGTTAGATTAGAAAATATAGTTTACTTAAAAACTAAATTAGAAAGGGAGAGAGAAAAAGAAAGAGAGAGAGAGAGAGATTGGAGATTCACCACCCCAAGGTAGGTCTGGCACATGGCCACACCATAACTTAACAAGGCAGTGGCAAACAGCTGCTCGTGGGTGAGTCCTTTTAATCCTTCCCTGTGATGAGGGAAGACCATTAAGGTGACTGGGTGGTGGTCTGCTCTGTGTCATCATGAAGGAGTAGGTGATCGCAGGAATTGACATCAGGTGATACAGAAGGGTGGGTTAGTCACATGATTGCGACCATGGTGGTGGGGTCTGTGTCACATAGGTCATGAAGGGCTGAATAGGTTAACTTGGGTCTAATGGGTGAAGTAAAGTACTTGGGATAGAAAAGCTAATTAGTAACAAGCTGGGGGGGGGGTTGTAAAGTAGCGATCAATAGCTCCCTCTGAGAAACCAGCTCTGACCTTGGCTAGTGATTACAGGGTAAGTTAAGTGAACTGCTGGAAAAACATGAGATTTCGGCAATGTTAAAATGGCTGCTAACTGGGTATATTGACTTCATGTTATGTCCTTTCATGTGTGTTAATTAATCTAATGCTTACCCCAACCCTTTGAGACGGTTACTATCATATCACCATTGCCATCCTACAGATGAAGAAACTGAGGCCTAGAGAAGTTAAGCAACATGCACAGGTTCACACAGCAGTAAGGGGCAGAATTGGGACAGAAGCCAGGCAACCAGGTTTCAGAGCCTGGGTCTGTAACATGGTTCCATGCTGCCTCTCACTCTGTGTGTGTGCATGTATGTGTGGGCATGTGCATGGGTGTGTGCATGTGTGAGTGTTCATGCGTGCATTCCGAAGTGTGCAGGTGTGTGAGTGTCTATGTGTGTTCCCAAAGCAGCTTTCTGTGGACATGAGGGTGAGGATGAGCAATGCTTCAGGGAACAGGGGGGCTCTCAGTGAGGGTGGCTCTTCTGGCAAGAGGCAAGCTGTCAGGGGCAGAATTGGGCCATATGTGTCATAAGAGGTCTGAGGAATTGGCCTTGTTCCTCTGGTCAGAACCTCTGGTCACAGAGGGAGCCCACCGACTCAGCTACCCTGACAAGACTTTCCTGTCCTGATTCAACAGGTAGATGCTCCTTGGATGAAGCACTTCATTGTCACCCACGACCCTGAGAACGGCATCTACAAGTCCCCGTATATCATCCCAGGGTAAAATGCAACCATTCTAGGGCAGAAGAGGGGCTCTCCATGCCATCTTTACAACCCTGCCGGTCTCAGGCCTCTTGCTTAGACCTCACAGTTGTTCTCTTTCAATGACTTTAAGTGAGTTTGAACTATTAAATCCCTGAGGAGGCAGGAGTCAGCCTTGAATGGTCTCTGTCATGAATATTCTTTTGAATGACAGCAGTGGTGTGCTGCTGAGACAAAGGTAGTCGATGTGATGGTGATGACACTAGAAGTGGTGCGAACGGCAATAATGGGAGTGGGGGTGGGAATGGAGATGGGGTGGATGGTGAGGATAATATTGATGGTGAAAAGGGGGTGTCAGTGGTGGGATGACAATATTGCTGATAAAGGAATAGGGGTAGTAGAGATAGTGTTGTCATGGATGGGGAAGCTGTTGATGGGTGTGGTGATTAACATAAGAATGATAGAGTGGAGATGTTAGTGGGGGTGGTATGGTGTTGATGAGATCAGTGTTGATGATAGCAGTGATTGGGAGAGGGGATGGTAGCTGGTGCTGATGGAAATGACAACTTCAGCGGTCTTAACAGTGTGGCAGAGATGACAACCTCAAAAGGAATGTTAATGATGTGGTGTACTGACTGCCTCAATGGCGATGTTACTGGTGTGCTAGAGATGACGATATCAATGGCAAATTTTTTTTTTCTGTTTTTTGAGATGGGGTCTCACTCTGTTGCTCAGTCTGGTGTACAGTGGCATGTTCATGGCCACTATAGCCTTGACCTGTTGGGCTCAGGCGATTCTTCCACCTCAGCCTTCCAAGTAGCTAAAACCACAGGCATGTGCCACCACACCCAGCTTCTTTCTTGATTTATTGTAGAGATGAGGTCTTGCCAAGTTGCCTGGGCTGGTCTCCAACCCCTGGGTTCAGGCAGTTCTCTCACCTCCACCTTCCAAAGTGCTGGGATTACAGGCATGAGCAACCGTGTCCAGCAATGACAATGTTAATGGTGGTGGTGAAATGGTGAATGGGGTTAATGGTGATGACATAGTCATGGTGGTCGTGAAGATGATGTCATTGATGGAGATGACAGTATTGATGGTAATGTTAGGGATGGTGGAAGAGTTGGTGGTTGGTGTTGGTAATGACAATGGCAATTGAGGTGGTGACAATGGTGGTGTTAGCAGGGATGACAGTGTCAATGGTCGTGGTGATTTAGTAGAGACGGGGATACTAGTAAGTCTGGTGATGACTCTCCTGCATCACCAAGGCTTCATTTTCCTTCATCCCTTGGCCCACCTCATATTTATCTAGGATCCAGACAGTTACTCTTGGAGGCATCTTCCAGCTGGGAAACTGGAGTGAAATCAACAACATCCAGGATCACAACACCATTTGGGAAGGCTGCTGCAGACTGGAGCCCACACTGAAGGTAAGTGAGGGGACAGAGCGCAGTACCCTATGCCAGGATCCTGGCCGCTCTGTCAGGAGGACATTTGCATTTGAGGATGGCAAGATACCACCCCACTGGGATAATTGGGCAAATTAATTCCAGGAAGGGGCTATGGACTACACCAGAATTTGACAATGTGTCGGAAAGTCCTTGCTAGGGACTAATGGCACCTACCTGGCCATGGCTAAGAGTTGCTTCCTTTTGAGCTGATATCCCCAAACAACTTAGTCTGTTTTTGCAGGGAGTGGATGTATATGTTGCAGAAATCTTCATTTTCACATCGGCCTGCTAGTGGTGATGACAGTAGTGATGGTGATGAGGATGGGGGTGGAAGTGGCGGTTGGTGTTGATGGTGATGAAAATGCTAAGAATGGTGATAACGATGATGAGGAGGTAGTGACTGTTGATAACATGATGGCAGTGGCGATGGTGAAGGTGGTGGCTGGTGAAAACAGGGTAGTTGAGAGAATGGGTGGTGATGTGGTAATAATGATGAGAGGGATGTCGGTAGCTGATAAGGATGATGTTGGTGGCAGTGGTGATCAATAGAGATGATTGTGATGACGTTGGTGCTGGTGGTGGGGATAATGAGATTCTAAAAACTAACTTCTTACCACCTAAAAATGGTAGCAAAAAGAAAAAATCCAGACACGAGTGACTGGTACTTTTCTTTCCAGGTTGCAAGGATTGTTGGTGAATGGACTGGCTTCCGGCCAGTACGCCCCCAGATTCGGCTAGAGAGAGAACAGCTTCACGTTGGACTGTCAAACACAGAGGTATGCTCTCCTGGCAGGGAAAGCAGTGCCCTCCTCGACTCCTAAGATGGCTCTGGCATTTTCAGGGAACAATCTCATGTGATCTCTGGCTCCACAGGGCACACTAGCAGAGGAGGTGTGGCTAATATCCCTTCCTCTATACCTGGGAAGACTGAAGATCAGTGATGGCAAAGGACCAGCTCAAGCTTACACAGGGGACAGCCTTGCCTTGCTTTTCTGAAGTCTCTGGTTGAGTAGGAGAGTGGGTACTCATTGAACAATTACTTTTTTTTTTAGTTGGGACCTCCTCATTTTGTCACCCAGGCTGGAGTGTAGTGGCACAATCACGGCTCACCGCAGCCTAGACCTCCTGGGCTGAGGCGATCCTTCCACCCCAGTCTACCAAGTAGCTGGGACTACAGATACACACCACCACACTCAGTTGGTTTTTCTATTTTTTGTAGAGATGCGATCTACGTTGCCCAGGCTGGTCTCAAACTTGTGGGCTCAAGCAATTCTCCCACCTCGGCCTCCCAAAGTGCTAAGATTACAGCAATAAGCCACTGTGCCTGGCTAATTTTTTTTTTACTTTTTATAGAAACGAGGTCTTGCTATATTGCCTAGGCTAGTCTTGAACTCCTGGGCTCAAGCAATCCTCCCACCTCAGCCTCCCAAAGTGTTGGGACTACCCAGTGTGAGCCACTGCACCGGGCTTGAACTACTTTGTGCTGGACACTGCAGCAAGCCCATGACACAAAGGACCTTACTGAAGGCCCCTGAAGCTCTTTGGGATAGGGACAGTTCTCCCATTCTTCAGAGGATGAAACCGAGGCTCTGGGAGATGAAGCCACTTGCCTACATCAGACCATTGGTGGGGACAAGGCTGGGATGTGGTCTGAATTAGACTCCAGGGCTCTTTCCCAGATTTCCATCTTGTGGCTGCCCCATTGTCTCCCACTGCTGTTCCAGTGGTCCTCTCCAGCCGACCTGCATGCTGAGAGATGCTCAGGTAGTTTCTGGTTTTGTCCAGGACTCTTCAGGAAGCCCCTTCCAGGGCAAAGAAGCTCCCTCTCCTCTTTTTCCCGCCCCTCTCAGGTCCAACTGCCCCTCTCTTCCCTCTCTTAGGTCATTCACAACTATGGCCATGGAGGCTACGGGCTCACCATCCACTGGGGCTGTGCCCTAGAGGTGGCCAAGCTCTTTGGGAGTGTCCTGGAAGAAAAGAAGGTGTCCAGGATGCCACCATCCCACCTCTGAAGACTCCAGCGACTGTCACCTCCCCCACCATGATCCCCACTCCCCTCTGCCAACTAATCAACGTGCTCCTACGTAGGCCTTCACTGACCCATCACTCCCCCACCCCCCACCACCGGTGTCTTTCTGCAAAGAAGTGAGAGGTGAGAGAAAAACAAGGTCAATTCCTGGAAGAGTTCCACCCCACCTAGGGCCCCCTCTGATCACTGAGGTCTCTCTGCCCTTTCTGGTCTAACATGATGAAGAACAGCTGTGGGCTGTTATGCCCTGAGTCTTCAGAAGAAAGGACAGCTTAGAAGGTCAAAGAGGCCAGCTACAGGCTCAGAATATCAAGGTTAAGTAACTTGATTGTAAATCATGCTAACATATTAAAGGTTCTGAAAAGTCTTGCAGCAAAGACAACTATCCAATGCTGTTTGACTCAGTGCTTCCTAACCCTATCTGGTCATGGGAAATCGCTGCCCAGAGCACCAAGGGATGCCATAGAACGCATCTGAGGAAACGCTGTAATAGATTCTGCTGTAGGAAGTTACAGGTGTAAAGAAGGCATAGAGGTGGCAGAAGAGGTGAGGCACTGAGGCAGCAACACGTCTGTTCCATATCCAGGGTTCCAAATGGTATCAGCTGTTCACTGAGTGGCTCCTAGGTAACCACAGAAGGGGCCCCAGGAGGGGTCATCCCACAAAGCACTCCTTCATAGGGAACTATTTCAGGCCACTCTTTTTTTGAGGCGGGGATCTCATTCTGTAGCCCAGGCTAGAGTGCAGTGACACATCACAGCTCACTGCAGCCTCAACCTCCTGGGCTCAGGCGATCCTTCTGCTTCAGCCTCCTGAGTATCTGGGACCACAGGCACGTGCCACCACATCCAACTAACATTTTTGGAGATGAGGTCTTGCTGTGCTGCCCAGGCTGGTCTCAAACGTCTGGGCTCAAGCAATCCTCCCACCTCAGCCTTCCAAAAGCTGGGATTATAGGTACCAGTCACCATGCCCAGCCTATTTTAGTCCATTTTCTGTGGCTTACAAAAGAGTACCTGAACCTGGGTACTTTGCAATTAAAGGGATTCATTTCTTCCAGATAAAAAGCCAAGAAGTGAAAGGTTGAAGGGCAGCATCCAGTGAGGACCTTGTTGCTGGCAGGAACTCTGCAGGGTGCCAAGGTGGCACAGGGCATCTTACGGTGAGGGGGCTGAGTGTGCTTGCTCGAGTCTATATCTTTTTCTCTTCTTATAAAGTCACCCATTCCCCCTCTATGATACCCCATTAATCCATTTGCCTAATAATCCATTAATCTATTAGTGGATTAATCCATTCATGACAGCAGAGCCCTCACAATCCAATCGCCTCTTAAAGGCACCACCTCTTGCCGGGCTCGGTGGCTCAGCCTGTAATCCCAGTGCTTTGGGAGGCTGAGGTAAGTGGATTGCCCGGTTCGGGACCTGCCCGGGCAACTTGGCAAGACCTCATCTCTATAATAAATCAAAAAATTATCTGGGCATGGTAGCATGCACCTGTAGTTCCAGCTACTTGGAAGGCTGAGGTGGAAGGATTGCCGGAGCCCAGCAGGTCGAGGCTGCGGTGGCTGGTAGCGTGCCACTGCACTCCAGTCTGGGCGACGGAGTGAGACTCCAACTCAAAAAAAAAAAAAAAAAAAGCACCACCTCAATGCTGCCACATTGTGGATTGTCACAACGTAAGTTTTGGAGGGGACATTCAAACCACAGCAAGGAGGAAACTCACCAGATGTACTCCTTGTTTGGTGGGGACAGATTTACCGTCTCCCTTGTCTTTGGGCTGGTACCCTCTGAGATGACAAACAGGCCCCCAGATATTTTTGGAAGCCTTGAATGACCCCACGAGCCCCTTGTAATTTTCATCCCTAATTGCCCACCTCAGCCTCTGAGGTTGAACTTTCTTTCATCTCCCTGGTTTTGGGGAAAGGCTGGAGACTAAGAAGTTTCGTGCATCTTGGCCCAGTGGCCCCCATGTGCTGTGAAGCGGTTTTAGCTGACTCATGCCACGCCATGCCATTTCATGATGGGCTCTCCATGAAGCATCCGCACAACCCTGACCTCAGGCCTGAGCTAAGGAGGATGAGGGTGCCAGGATCTCAGTTAGACTTCTAGCATAGCAGCAACAACAATGATGGTTATAGCTAAAACTTACTGCATTCAAACTAGGTTCTGTGTTCACTTCTTGCACACATTGCTCCTTTGATCCTCTACATGCCCCCTGAGGTAGCTATTATCCCATGTCACAGGTGAGAAGACTGAGGCACAGAGAGACAGCCAGAAGTCAACAGCCGGGAAGGGATAGAATGGAGATTCTGGTTCAGAAACGATAAGATTCTGGCGCTTCCCTTTCAGCCACTGCACAACACTGGATCCAAGCTACGGGTGGGCTGGGCCTCAATCCTCTGCAAATCCGAAAAGGAACTAGCTCCCTCCCCCTCTCAGCCACATCTGCACCAAGTCAGGGGACTCTGACAAGGCTCCTGGGGCAAAGGCACTTCTTGGTTCTTGGGGCATTTTGGTTTTGAGCAAAGTGATTTCTTTACCTAACCTAAAATTCTCCAGGGAGAGTAACCAGCCAAGGTGAGTTGTCAACAGGAACTCCAGCGAACTGAGTACGCAGCGAACTCACAACGCTGTATGGGGTCAGGAGAGTCCACATTAAGGCCCAAAGTGACCCTCCTCTTCTTTTTATACATGGTAAGAACGTCTTTGAAACACATCCTAGGCCAGGCTTGGTGGCTCAGCCTGTAATCCCGTGCTTTGGGAGGCCGAGGTGAGTGGATTGCCTGAGCCCGCAGGTTCAAGCCCGCCTGGGCAACTTGGCAAGCCCTCATCTCTACAATAAATCAAAAATTAGCTGGGCGTGGTAGTGCGCGCCTGTAGTTCCAGCTACTTGGAAGGCTGAGGCAGAAGGATCGCCGGAGCCCAGCAGGTCGAGGCTGCGGTGGCTGGGAGCAGCCACTGCACTCCAGTCTGGGCGACAGAGTGAGACTCCAACTCAAAAAAACAAAAAACAAAAAACAAACAAAAAAAGAAGTACATCCTAAAATTCAGAACAAAAGGAACATGGCCAGACCCAGAGATCCATGTAGTTATGTAGATTTTGCACTGGTTACTTTGTATACAGCAGGTCCTCGCTTAACGTCACTGGTAGGTTCTTGAAAACTGAGACTCTAAGCAAAATAACATATGATGAAACCAATCTTACTGTAGGTTAATTGATATACACACAAGGTAAGTTCCTATAACATATTTCTGGCCACAAAAAGATCACCAAACTTCTAAGTAAAGACCAAACATGTCTAATATGAAACATTGAAATTAATGTGAGCTCTACATACATTTAAGAAAAAGATTCATAAAAATAAGTAAGATAATTATTTACCCAATAATTCCAGCTCAGGGATGAGGGTGCTAGAGCCTAACCTGGCAGCTCAGGGCACCAGGAAGGAACCTACCTGAACAGGACACCATCACATTGCAGGGTATACACACACACACACACACACACACACACACACACACACACACACACACTCATTCACTCACTCACTCACTCACTCTCTCACTGGGACCATGTAGACTTGCCAATGAACCTAACCTGCAAATCTTGGGGATGTAGAAACCAGAGTACTCAGAGAAAGCCCATGTAGACACAGAGAGAACATGCAGACAGTGGCCCTGGCTGGGGACAGAATTTTTTTTTCTCATCAATGTTATAACAAAACGACACTGAATGAGACACCATTATTTAAGGACATTCTGTACTTTGCCTAACACTCCTGCTCCTTCCTTGAAAGTGATCTGCAACCAGATTTTCAGTGAATTTTTAGCAGCCTGATAAATTTAGAAAAGAATTTTCCTTCCTCACTGAATCATCTCGGTAATGTTGTTGAAAATAAATTATAAATGTATGAGTTCATTTTTGAACTCTATTGATCTATAGATCTATCCTTGTGTCACTACCACACTGTCTTGATGACTGTCACTTTGTAGTATATTTTAAAATCAGGACGTGTTGGCTGGGCTTGGTGGCTCAGCCTGTAATCCCAGCACTTTGGAAGGCTGAGGTGAGTGGATTGCCTGAGCCTGCAGGTTTGAAACAAGCCCGGGCAATTTGGTGAGATCTTGTCTCTACAATAAATTTAAAAATTAGCCGGGTATGGTAGCACGCATCTGTAGTTCTGGTTACTTGGAAGGATGAGGGTGGCCGTGAGTGTGCCACTGCTCTCCAGCCTGAGCGACAGAGTGAGACTCCAACTAAAAAATAAAATAAAATCAGGAAGTGTGAATCCCCCAACTTTGTTCCTCTTTTTTTTTGAGTCAGAGTCTCACTGTTGTCCAGGCTGGAGTTCAGTGGCACGTTCACAGCTACGGCAGTCTCGACCTGCTGGGCTCTGGGGATCCTTCTGCCTCAGCCTTCCAAGTAGCTGGAACTACAGGCGCATGCCACCACACCCAGCTAATTTTTTTGATTTACGGTAGAGATGAGGTCTTGCCAAGTTGCCCAGGGGAGTCTCGAACCCGCGGGGTCAGGCAATCCTCTCATCTTGGCCTCCCAAAGTGCTGGTATTATAGGCGTGAGCCACCATGCCCAGCCTGTTCCTCCTTTTCGAGATTTTTGTTTGTTTGTTTAGGACATTCTGGGGTGTTTGCATTTCTGTATGAATTTTTCAGTCAGCTTGCCAATTTTTGCAAGAGTCAGCTGAGATTTTGATGAAGACTGTGCTGAATCTATAGGTCAATTTGGGGTGTGTGGATTGACAGCTTACCAATTGTAAGTCTTCTGATTCATGAATAAGGAATGTCTCCCCATTTATTTAGATCTTTAATTTCTCCCAGCAAATTTTTGTAGTTTGTAGGTCTTGCACTCTGCTTGTTAATTTTATTCCCAAGTGTTTTATTTTTTTTGATGCTATTGTGAGTGGAATTTTCTTCTTATTGATGAATTTAGAAAGCACTCAGTTATCTGGCATGATGACGGTAGGGGCATTTGAAGTGGTTCATCATCAAATACTCCTCATTAATTGAGAATGGTTATTGCTGGGTGTGGTGGTATGCACCCGTAATCCCAGCTACTGAGGAGGCTGAGGCAGGAGGATCACTAGAGCCCAGGAGTTCAAGACCAGCCTGGGCAACATAGCAATACCCCATCTCAAAAAAAATAAAAAATAAAAGAGCGAGTATATGTGATTTATATGGATATTCGAATACACACTAAAGTGCCACCAGTGACTGAAGTCTGGCTGAAACCTCTGAGTCCTTGAAGAGTCAGAAGGTGCATCAGGGTTCCCTGAGCTTCAGGGTTGGCAGTCGTGGGCCTCCTGTGACATGCTCTGCGTCCTTTCTTAGCGGCCATGTCACACTGTATCACAATGATCTGCTCATGCATGCTCCCCCATTACACTGTAAAGGCATGAAGGTAAGGCACCTATCTCATGCCTTTTTGCACCCTCAGTGTTGAGTATCATGCATGTCTGGTATATGCTAGACTTCGTGTATAATGACCAGTTGTTAGGACATGATCCATAATAGAGTCATGATTTTTTTTTGGAGACAAGATCTTGCTGTGTTGCCCAGACTGGAGTGCGATGGTGCAATCATAGCTCACTGCAGCCTCCAACCTCCAACTCCTGGGCTCAAGTAATCCTCCCACCTCAGCTTCTTGAGCAGCTGGGGCTTCGGGTGTGTACCACCATTGCCTGGCTCATTTGTGCATTTTTTGTAGAGATGGGGCCTTGTTATGTTGCCCAGGTTGAGAGTTAAGATTAACAGACTCCAGAGTTTATGTATTTGTTGCTATGGATTCCAGACACACAGTTAGTCCCCTACACATGAATCTTCACACTGCAAACTTTCAAAGATGCAAACATGCATTTGCATGTTGAATCACGTAAGTTGGTTCACGTGTTTGGCATACATTGTCACGTGTGTGCATCTTCTACAAGTGATTGTGCTTTTGTGTACTTTACTATACAGTACTGCATAGACTACAGTAATACAGTACCTTTATTTCAAGCCCAGATGCCCGGAAGCAAGTGTAAAAGCAGTGGTAATATAGCTGGTATAGCCAATTCTGCTAGTTGGGTAGCCAGGCTAACTCTGTTGGACTTATGAACAAATTAGACTTACAAATGCACTCTCAGATGGCTGGGTGTGGTGGCTCAAGCCTGTAACCCCAGCACTTCAGGGGGCCAAGGCAAGAGGTTTCAGTGGTTTGAGACCAGGCTGGGCAACTTGGTGAGACCTTGTCTCTACAATAAATCAAAAAATAAGCAAGGCATGGTGGCTCGCACCTGTAGTTCCAGCTACTTGGAAGGCTGAGGTGGAAGGATCTCCTGAGCCCAGAAGGTCGAGGCTGCAGTGACCGGGAGCGAGCCACTGCACTCTAGCCTGGGCTACAGAGTGAGATTCCAACTCAAAACAAAACAAAACAAAAATGCTTTTGGAACATAACTCATTTCTATGTAGGGGACTTGTTGTACCAGCAACTGTCTGTGCCACCCTGCTGAAGGGCAGGCCATGCCACTATGCTTGTACCTCTTGACCATCTTTCCCTGACTCAACTTAACTGGACCAGGACTGGGACCAATGCTAAACTAGGCCAATTGACTTCCTCTTCTGAAAATTTGGAAGGGAGGCACTGAGCACTGGAGTCATGTGTGTGTTGAGCTGAGTTATGAGGCCACAGAGGCCCAGTGCATGGTTCTGCACCCACAGCAGCCACGAGGGGAGACAAGGAAGTCAGGCTGCAGGGGGGCAGAAGCATGGGCCACACACTCAGGCAGGAAACTGCCTTGGGCCCCAGCAGCTGCCATTGCACCCTTCCCTCGTGATATCAGGCTACACTTGACGAGATCTCGCTCACCTTGCAGAGGCTACAAACTTACAGCCCATCAAACCTGGACTGCAGATGAGTTGTATTTGGTTCACACATAATTTAAGAATATTTGATCCAACACATTCGAAATTGGAGATTTCACATAAAAATCCAGGTTTCTGTTTTGAAAATCAGGAGATCTTGCCAGGCATGGTGGCTCACACCTGTAACCTCAACACTTTGGGAGGCGAGAGGATTGCCTGAGCCCACAGGTTCGAGACCAGCCTGGGCAACTTGGCTGGACCTTGTTTCTACAATAAATAAAAAAATTAACTGGGAGTGGTAACGTGCGCTTGTAGTTCCGGCTACTTGGAAGGCTGAGGCAGAAGGATCGTCGGAGCCCAGCAGGTCAACGGCTAGGGTGGCCGCGAGCGTGCCACTGCACTCTAACCTGGGCAACGGAGTGAGACTCCAACTCAGAAAAAATCCAAAACAAAATTAGGTACAAACATCTTCAGCTAAAGCCCCGTATACTTCAGAGGCCAGGCACCTTTGTGGTAGCCCTCAGATAGTTCAATAGTACTGAGTTTTTTTTGAAGACAGTGGGCTATTTAGAAGGCAGAGTTTAGGCCGGGTGCAGTGACTCATGCCTATAATCCCAGCACTTTGGGAAGCCGAGGTGAGAGGATTGCCTGAGCCCACAGGTTCAAGACCAGCCCAGGCAACTTGGTGAGCCCTCATCTCTACAATAAATAAAAAAAAAAAATTAGGCATGGTGGCGCACGTCTGTATTTCCGGCTACTTGGAAGGCTGAGGTGGAAGGATCACCTGAGCCCAGTAGGTTGAGGCTGCGGTGGTTGTGAGCGTGCCACTGTACTTCAGTCTGAGTAACAGAGTGAGACTCTAACTCAAAAAATAAAAATAAAAAGGAAGGCAGAGTTTTTAGCTTTCATTTTCTCACACAGAGAAACCTCTTAACTGTGAGCCCCTTTGCCTCAGTCCCTGGAAAATGTTCTTGCCCACCAAGCTTTCCTCCTTCACTCAGCACCCAGCTCCACCCGGTTGTTTGAGGGTGAAGGAGCAGACGTGGGCACCTGGCAGCAACTGATCAGCTGGGGGGCAAAAGAGACAGGCCAGAGTTCGGTGTCACCCAAGAGAGCTCAACTCTCCAGAAATCATGTGAGCTGCAGCCACGTGTTCAAAGAAATGTGGATGTCAGAGAAGTCAGATCTGCCAAGCCACCTCCTCTCCGACTGCCTGGGCCAAAGGGGCTACAGCCCATGGGGACAAGGGATTGTTTGCAGTTGACCTAAGACTTGAGCCTAAAGAAGTACCCCACTGTGACCCCCGCACTGTTAGAAGAAAGCATTGTCTCCAACAAACTCAAAGTCATGATGTTGACAGTCAGTAGCACAACTTCCCTCCATGCTGCAAAGGAGACTGTCGTGTTAAGGCACTGAGATGAATTCTGATCAGTTGCTGTCAGGTGAACAAAGGTAGCAAGACTGCTAAGCTGAACTGTCACTGGGACATTATGGCAAACGAACAAACTTCAACCCATGCAATGTCCATCACTGACACGTTTTAATAAGAGATGAATGTATACATTTGGCTTCCTTGCAATGTCCACTCCAAGCCGAGGGTCGGTCTTCCCTGCCCTCAGATGGGATCTGCCAACTTCCTCCCTCCTCTGGGTCTCCTGCCTTCACCATGAGGAGAAAGGCTCATTTGAACCAAATTCGGGAAGTGAGTGGAGTCTGTTCCATCCCTTCGCCCTGAGACCAACCCCAAACCCACTTGGCCTTGAGCCTCTTCCTCTGCAAATGTACACCTGTGGGCCTCCCTACCCCTCTCCACTTCAAGGCCGGGACTCCTGGGCTGCCTCTGTGCAGTGACCAAGACTGCCCTTGACAAGATGGCTATGCATCGGGGAACCCAGGTTCTCTGCCTACTCAGTCATCTACCCATGCACGAACCCCAACACTCTGGACCCTGAGTCAATGGTTTCCTTTCCCCAGGCGTCACCGTCCAGCCTGACTGAGGAGGGGGCCAGGAAGGAAGCCCAGTGTGGTCTTTGCTGTTTCAGAAGGAGAAGCAACTTTGGCTTTGGGCTTCAGTCTCACCTCCCCGCCTCAGTCCTCAGTTCCCAGGGGGTAACAGCTTTCTGAGGCTGTCACCGGGTGCAAACCCAGCTGTACCCAGGCACACATCTAGAGCCAGCCACAGCAACTCCAGAGGGGCAGGGCTGGGGCACGTGGCTCAAGTTCAGATGCCATCCGTCAGAGTCTCCACTAGTCAGGTGTCACTAAACAGGGCCCTGCAACTACGTCACCTGCAACTTCACAGAAGAAAGCCTGGGGCCAGGGGTGGGGGAGGAACCTACTGAACAAGTCCGGGTGGTGAATGGCAGGTATCACACGGGCCGGGGCCTGGACGGTATCTACAGAACTCTTTTGGTTGCGGTTCACTGAGGGTATAGCCAGGTGACTCCAGGTGGTGTCCCATTGTCGACTGCTGACATCGCCGGATCCTCCTAATGGGATCGTTTTCCCATGCAGATCCATGGGTTATGAACAAACCTTCCCCCACACACACAGAGAACCCCCCAGAGCCAATGGCCCCCATCCCTAGGCAGAACTCAGTGAATATGAGCAAACAGAGTCAAGACACAAAACCCTGTTGGTCCACGTCGTATTCCTGGGTGAGTTCTTGGTGTCGGCAGTGACGATCAGCGCCCCCGCTGGGCTCTGCCAGACCCCTGAGTCCTACAGCCTCAAAGACCAGCTCAGTCTCCATCCATTCCTATTCCTGAGATCCAGAGTTTGACCTGGTGACGCCTGTGCCGTGCATCCCCCGGCCGACCATTTCCTGGCCCCACTCCCGGTGGCTGGACTCCTGTAGGCCTCGGCCTTTGGTCTCGATGGGCAAAAAGCAGGAGGCCAGGGCAGCCAGCAGGCAGCAGCCACTGTAAACCGCCAGGGTCAGGTACACAGAGGACTCCAGCATCACCTGGGGGAGGGAGACACAGGTCGGTGAGGGCATCCTTTCTGACATCTTGGCTTCAGATAATGCTGATGATACCAGGCCGTTTTGTGAGCACTCCACACCATGATTTAAGAGCCAAGTACTCCATCCCCATCTCACAGAGGGGAAAACTGAGGCTCAAAGATGAAATGCAGCATACCCACACTCAGACAGGTAATAAGGATGGGGCTGGGATTTGAACTCCAGTCTCTGAGGCTTGAGTCTGGACTCCATGCAGCCAGGTTCTCTGCTGGAACAGAGCCTGTGCCAACCTCCTAGCTTCAGGCATAAGGCGAACCACATGGTAGAGCTGAATCCTGTTTCCTCATCTGCTGAATGGGCATGGGGTAGTGCCACTTCCTAATGGCAGGATGCTTGGGAGCACCTGGCACCACACAGGCGCATGGTAAGTGCTCAAGCTAGATTGTCAGGAGTGCCACACAATGGCCAAGAAATGCAATAAAGGGCACTCAACACAAAAAAGGCAGAATAGAAATACTCAGCTAAATATGTATTTGAATTCCATTTATCTGAACTATCCAAAAAAGGCAAATCCATACAGACAGAAAACAGATGGGTGGCAGCCAGGGGCTTCGGGAAGGGGGCAATGGGGAGATAATTTTTTATTTAATTTTATTTATTATTTTAGAGTAAGGATCTCACTGTGTCACCCAGGCTGGAGTGCAGTGGCACGATCATGGCTCACTGCAGCCTCAACCTCCCAGGCTCAGGCAATCCTTCTGTCTCAGCCTCCCATGAAGCTGGGACCACAGGTATGCATCATCATGCCTGGTTAATTTTTAAAATTTTTTTTGTAGAGATGAGCTCTCACTGTGTTGCTTAGGCTGGACTTGAACTCCTGGGCTCAAGCAGTCCTCCTGCCTCAGCCCCCCGAAGTGCAGGGATTACAGGAGTGAGCCACCACAACTGGCCCTCGATATGAGGTTTTATTTTGGGGGTGATAAAAACATTTTGCAACTAGGTGGCTGCACAACATTGTGAATATGCTGAATGCCACTGAATTGTTCCCTTCAAGATGGTTAATTTTAGGCTGGGCTTGGTGGCTCAGCATGTAATCCCAGCACTTTGAGAAGCTGAGGCAAGTGGATTGCCTGAGCCCGCAAGTTCAGGACCAACCCAGGCAACTTGGTGAGACCTCTTCTCTACCATAAATCAAAAATTAGCCAGGTGTGGTAGTGTGCTACTTGGAAGGCTGAGGCAGAAGGATCACCAGAAGTTGACACTGGGGTGGCCGTGAGCATGCCACTGCACTCCAGCCTGGATGATGGAGTGAGACTCTGACTCAAAAAAAAAAAAAAAAAAAAAGATGGTTAATTTTATGTTGCATAACTTTTACCTCAATAAAAAGTAATATAAACAGAAAAATATTGGATATTCAGGAAGTAAAATGACTCAATAAGATTCCTAAAAATAAATGAAATATTTTAAGACACATGAAGAGCTGCAAAATTCTACAATTACATGTAATTATCCAACTCAAAAAGCAGGATATGGGATGTCTGTTTTCTACTAAGTCCTATCGGCCTCCTGTTTTCATCCAATGGTTTTTTAGGCCAGTCATCTGGCACCCCTGGGGTCTTCTCCATGGGAAGACCTAGGCTGATTTGTGGCTTGTCTGCATCCCAACTGTGTGGCCTTGGGAGTGTCCCTTTGCCCCGAGCCCATTTTCTCATCTGCGAGCAATGTTTCTTCTACCACAGTGTGTGTTGTTGGGATAAGATAAGGCGAGGCCCACAGGCTCTGCAGAAGGTCAGTGTGTGGGAGTTGCTTGCCATGCCCTGGGCTCTGTCGTTACCTCCCGCCCCGGCATTTGGGGATGACACCCACCTGGGCAATGAACGGAGTGATGAGAGCACCCACTCTTGCCATGCCACTGCAGGTTCCCAGGCCCAGCGCCCGCGTCGCTGTGGGGTAGACCTGAAACACAGTGGCCAGATGTGGGCTTGGGAAAATGCAGGTTCCTCCTCCCTCTGCAGCTCAGGACTGATGGGATTGACCCCGTGGGCAGGCCGGAAGTCGGGGCAAGTCCCTCAAGTGCTGATGACCCCCTTAAGGGAGAGGGATTCTCACCCCAAAGGGGACGGGAAGTTCACCTGAGAAGAGGACAAGAAGCTGAGCTGTGGGTAGGAATCCAGCAAGGGAAGCCCCTCTGCCCTGGCGGGTCCCAGAGCCTTCTCCATCAGGAGCTGCACCCTGTTCAAGAACCAGGTGCTGCTCCAGCTTTCATATTTCTTTTTTTTAATTAAATTTTTAAAAAAATTTTTTTGAGACAGAATCTTGCTCTGTTGTCTAGGCTAGAATGCATAGGGTGAACATAACTCACTGTAGCCTCAAAGTCTTGGACTCAAGCAATACTTTTACCTCAGTCTTCCAGTAGCTAGCACTACAGGCACATGCCTGGTTAATTTTTTAACTTTTGTATAGACAGGGTCTTGCTGTGTTGCTCAGACTGGCCTCAAACTCCTGGCCTCAAGCAATCCTCCTGCCTCAGCCTCACAAAGTGCTGAGACTACATGCATGAGCCCCTGTGCCTGGCCACTACCTTTCACTTTTTGTGAGTTCAACTTGAAACACGAGTCAGGAGATTTCAAGAAATCTCATCAAGAGAGAGACTGAAACGTTTACAGTTTCTGTTCAGATCCAGTAGGGGCCACATGCTTCGTTCTTCCCTAGGCAAAGTGAGAGGAGACCACATCTTCCAGGCCATGGTAATTAAGAAGGGGGCATGTTTTCTCCATTCCCCTCCCCTGTCTGCTGGCTGGGAGGAAGACTCCATGGGCCTAGGGCAGGATTTCTCAACCTGGGCACTATGGACATTTTGGATGGGTAATTCTTTGTCATGGGTGGCATCTGTGGCCTCTACCTATTTGGAACCAGTAGCAGCTCTGCCTCCCCCTACACTTATGATACCCCAAAACATTTCCGGACATTGCCAAATGTCCCCTGGGTGAGAACACCCCAAGCAAGGAGTTTGGGTCCCCAAATCACTGTGGGGAGGAAGCTGTCCCCACCCTAGAACACCCATAGAGGACCCTTTCATCAGTGAGAAGTTTCTATTGTGTCAAAACACTCCACTCTGGGACTTAATCGTTCCAGTAGCTAACATGTCTCTAACAAGTTGCAGTGCTCAGTGCAGAAAGCCTGCGAAGATTAAAAACATCTAGGGAAAAAATGAAGAAATGTTTATGATCCCAGCACTCGGAGGTTCTCACATGTTCATATATGACTGAGTTTTTTCTGTGTTTATATATAGTACATATATCTTCATTCATTTACTCATTCAACAAATATGTTTTGAATGCATACTGTATATATTTATATATGATATTTTAAATTAACTTAATTACATAAACAATATAGAAAATATTATCCTCATAAGAAATCAAAATGTAGCCGGTTATGGTAGCTCACACTGGTAATCCCCGCATTTTGGGAGGCGGAGGTAAGAGGATTGCCTGAGCTCAGGGGTTCAAGACCAGCCTGAGTAACATGGTGAGACCACACCTCTACAGTAATTTATAAAATTAGTCAGGCATAGTGGCACAAGCTTATAGTTCCAGCTACTTGGAAGGCTGAGGCAGAAGGATTGTCTGAGCCCAGCAGATGGAGGCTGCGGTGGCCATGAGTGTGCACTGCACTCCAGCCTAGGCGACAGAGTAAGACTCTGACTCAAAAAAAAAAAAAAAAAACAAAGAAATCAAAATGCTTAAATTCTCTCTTGATTCAATCCCTTGCAAGGAAAATTCTTTCCATAGGACCCCACTATTCAGAAGTTTGGAATGTATTATTCCAGATATGTTAAAAAATATATATATATGCATAGAAAATACATAACATTTACATAAAGACTAATGGACAGTAGCAAAAAATAAATCCTCTTTTGCAACCCAGAGTTCATTGTTCAGTGTGAGTTTTGATACGTGTAAGAAGGAATATTATTTAAAAAGAAAATATATAGCATTTTTTAAAAGTTAAAGGATATCATACCACACATATCATCTGCAACTTGTTGTTTTCGTTCAGCAATACATCTTAAAATCCTACCTACATCAGTATGTAGACTCCCTCTTTTTAACTGTTTCTAGGGGCAAAGCGTCCCCCCTCCCTGCCCCAGCTGCTTCCAGACACCCCTCCTACCTCAGGTGTGTAAACATAGGCCGCTTGAAAGCCTCCAGAAATAAACGCTCTTGCAATGAAGAGTAACAGGGTGAGCACATTTCTAGGGAGGGGGGAAAAGGCAGATGATGGTATTTTTTTCTGTCTCCTTGTTCCAGAAAAGTGCTATCTTCCCAGGCAGAATTTACACCCCAGCAACCGGCAAACGTCACCTGTACCCAACACACATTCATACAGATACACTGGCACACATATCCCAGTACTGTTTCTAAAGGCCTGCTTTTGTAAGGTTAGCATTCTTCAAAGCACCAGGCCAAGAGATGGAAACATCTGCAGTGCCCAGTTTTGGGGGAAGTGATATAAATAATCAAAAGCCCAGACAGGAACTTGCAGGGGCAGAAATGGACCCAGAAGGCAGCTGAGTGAGGTGAGGGCAAGTAAACCATGATTCGGTAATTTTAGGATGATCCTGATCCCCAACCCTCTGTTCCACTGTCCCCATAAATGCCCCCGAACACTAACATATCAGGGTGGAAGCTACATCCCCTGAACTTCCTCAGACCAGAATGTGGCCCACAGGTTCCTCATCGGGCTTGGTCTGGGGCCTCTCAGAGGTCAAGAGAGGCACAGACCACTCCTACATTTTGAGGCTCTTGGTGGATGGAAAAACAGAGAAATGCCGAAACGGTTTTAAACTATACAGAAATTCAACAGCTACGTGTATAACCTCTTTGAGAGATGATGTCAAGTATCCGAGTTTGACATTGTTAGAATAAAACTGGGGCCAAAGTGCCTGCTCCCTGCCTCCATCAGAGGCCCTGACCATGAGCCGGATCTTTCGGTCAGTGTGGCCATGAGACTCAGTCCCAGATAACCCACCTTCCAACGCAGATAAACAGCAGGAGGCTGCAGAAGGAGAAGATGACAAAGCACAGGGCCATGGTCTTCTTGCGGCCCAGGCGATCAATAATCCACAGAGTCACGAGGACGCCTGGAAGGAAAACGGGCATTGTAGCCTCCCCTGTGGTTCCCGATGCCCTCACCCCGGTATGCGCACACCCTGCATCGTAGTGGACTAGACCTGGTGACTCACTTCTGATGACTCGAAGACAGCAGAAGTCATGGGCATCGCTTCTGAAATCAGGATATTAAAGACTGTGATTTCCATCTTTTTTTTTTTTTCCTGAGTCAGAGTCTCACTCTGTCACCCAGGCAGCAGCACACTCACGGCCTCCGCAGCCTCGACCTGCTAGGCTCAGGTAATCCTTTTGCCTTCCAAGTAGCTAGAACTACAGGCATGTACTACCACGCCCAGCTCATCTTTCAATTTATTGTAGAGATGAGGTCTCACCAAGTTGCCCAGGCTGGTCTCGAACCCCTGGGCTCAGGCAATCCTCCTGCCTCCACTTCCCATAGTGCTGGGATTACAGGCTTGAGCCACTGCACCCACCTGTGATTTCCATCTTGCCGACATCCTCCCTCCCTGACTCTTCTCATGAGCCTGCCTTGGTGGAGAAAGCTGCCTGACCAGGAACTGGAGGTAGCCTCTGGCCAACAGCCAACAAGGAACTGAGGCCCTCAGTGCAACTACCCTTAAGGGATTGAAACTTGCCAATAACCATGTGAGTGAGCGTGGGGGTGGATCCTGCCCCAGTTGAGTTTTCAGATGAGACCACAGACCCTGGGCCCACTCCTCAAGGGCAGCCGTGTGAAATACACTAAAGCAGAGGATCCATGTAAGCCACTCCCATATTCCTGATCTATAGCAACTGTGGGATAACAATTGTGTATTGTTTTAAGCCAATAATTTGGGGATGATTTATTACATAGATAATGAATACAGGTACCAATGGAAGCTTGAATGGTGACATTCACTGAAGCCAGGCAGCAGGCATGGGTTCTAATGCCCCATCTTGCTTCTAACTTTCCATGTGGTCTTGGGCTAGTCCCTTGCCTTCTCTGAGCCTCAGTTTCTTCTTCTGTAAAATGGGACTAAAACACACACACTACACCTCAGTAGGCATGGAATAGCATTTTGCTTTTTTTTCTTAAGTTGGAGTCTCACTCTGTCCCCAGACTGGAGTGCAGTGGCCACTCCCGGCCACTGCAGCCTCCACCTGCTGGGCTCTGGCCATCCTTCCGCCTTAGCCTTCCGAGTAGCTGGAACTACAGGGGCGCGCTACGACAACCGGCTAATTTTTTTTATTTTTATTGTAGAGATGAGGTCTCGCCAAGTTGCCCAGGCGGGTCTTGAACCCGTGGGCTCAGGCAATCCACTCACCTTAGCCTCTCAAAGGCGTGGGATTACAGGCTGAGCCACTGAGCCCAGCTGCACTTTGCTTATTTTTAACAATAATAATTAAATTTGGGCTAAGCGTTTTTACATCTATTATCTTATTTTAATCATCAAAACAAGCCTCTAAGATAAATGCAATTTTTTTTTTTTTTTTTTTTTAGTCAGAGCCTCCATCTGTCTGTCCAGGCTTCAGAGTGGCACAATCACAGTTCACCGTAACCTTGACCTCCCAGGCTCAGAAGAACCTTGCAGCTCAGTCTCCATGGCTAATTTTTTTTTTTTTTTGTAGAGACAAGGTCTCACTATGTTGTCTAGGCTGGTCTTGAGCTCCTGGGCTCAAGCAATTCTCCCACCTTGACCTCCCAAAGTGCTGGGATTACAGGTAGAAGCCACCCATGACCGTCATAAAATAAATGCTATTAATAGTCTAATTTCTTCCACATTTATTCAATCCATAAATTAAAGTGCCCACTAAGTGTCAGGAACTGTTCTCAGAGTTTGGGATATGTCCCCAAATTTTAAAAAAATGTATATATAACTAATGAATGAAAAAAATAAATAAAAATCTGAGTTTTAGAGAGATAAAATTACGGAGATGGTGAGTGCTCACAGTAACAGAAATCTCACATACTTAGTCTTGGAAATGGAGATGGGCATTGCTGAGTTTAACTTCTGAGCTTTCTTTTTTTTTTTTTTTGAAGAGTCTTACTCTGTCACTCAGGTTGGAGTGCAGTGGCAGCATGCTGCTCATGACCACTACAGCCTCAACCTGCTGGGCTCAGGCTGTCCTTTCGTCTCAGCCTTCCAAGTAGCTGAAACTACAGACATGTGCCACTATGCCTGGATAATTTTTTGATTTATTGTAGAGAGGAGGTCTCGCCAAGTTGCTCAGGTTGGTCTCCAACCTGCAGGTTTAGGCAATCCTCTCATCTCAGCCTCCCAAAGTGCTGGGATTATAGGCGTGAGTCACTGCACCTGACCCTTGATTTATTGTAGAGATGAGGTCTCGCCAAATTGCCCAGGCTGGTCTCAAACCCCTGGACTCAAGACAATCCTCTTGCCTCAGCCTTCCAAAGTGCTGGGATTATAGGTTTGAGCTACCACACTTGGCTGACTTCCGAGGTTTCACCCTCACCTTCTAAGCACACAAGGAAAGGGTTTTAGAAGAAAGACAGTGTTGTACAGGATTGAAGACTCAAGACTCCAAGAAGACTGCAGTTCTGCCCACTGCGGGACACAGCGTCTCAGCTGGGTTTTCTTACAAGCAGGCCCTAGGACAAAGCTGCAAGAGCAAGGTGCTGGCTTGGGAGGTGATCCAGGGAAGTACCAGCAGGAGAGCAGAGAAGTAAGCTGGGGAAAGGATAGGAACTAATAGAGGGTGTGTATCAAGCAAGTTATAACTGTGGCAGCTGGAGCTGAATTCCACCAAGGGACCCTGGGAGCCAAGGCAGAACACATACCGCAGAGCTCTCCCACCTGAAGGGAGAGGAAGCTGGGGTATTTCTACACCAACTCCCACAAGTATTGTTTGAAGGCTGCTCCCAGGTGTTAATCTCTGGCACTTTGGGAAGCCTTGCTTGCTTTTGGATATAGAAGCTTTTCAGGCCTTCTGAGATAGCCTTCGGGCACAGAGATGCAGACACAGGCAGTTCAAGTTCAAGCAGAAACAGTTTCTGCTACAATGGGCAAGTTATGTCACCTCTCTGAGCCTCAATTTCTTCAGTTGTAAGATGGAAATAACTATATGACTTCATAAGGTTAAATGAGACCATATTTGTAAGACATGTAGCACTGTCTCTGGTATATAATAAGCAATCAGTAAACGCTAGATAGTATTATCGTTATAATAATTATTCCTTTTAAAGGAAAAAAGACAGATTACCTTTACATTGTGTGCAGGTTTGGATTTTTAACATTCCACCTATCCTTTCCAGTGTGTCTGGTGTGGGGGGACAATTCTCTGTGGGTCTCTAGCATTTCTGCAAAGCTTGTGATCAGAGGCACTAGCTGTCCTTTATTCCAGGCTTTCATGTCAAGGTTGTTTGTATAAGAAACAGCCTTGGAAGATAAAGATACTATCTCTCTCTGGAACAAAGGGCAGATCTGTTTACTGTCCAATATAATATAGATGATGTCACCCTTTGGGACAAAGGTTGGGTAGGTCTTTGGTAGACTGTTATAAAAGATTTGGGTTCCCGGTCGGGCACAGTGGCTCAAGCCTGTAACTCCAGCACTTTGAGAGGCCGAGGCGAGAGGACTGCCTGAGCCTGTGGGTTTGAGATCAGCCTGGGTAACATAGTAAGACCTCATCACTACAATAAATTAAAAAATTAGCCAGGCATGGTAGCACATGCCTGTAGTTCCAGCTACTTTGAAAGCTGAGGCGGAATGATTGCCGGAGCCCAGCAGGTTGACTCTGGAGAGGCCGTGAGCATGCCACTGCATTCCAGCCTGGCTGACAGAGTGAAACTCCAACTCAAAAGAAAAAAAAAAGATTTGGGTTCCCTAAGCTTAGGGATCCTCAGGTGTGTTGCAATTCATTGCACATGTAGCATCCATCTGGGTCCTTCCTCATCCTCCTTGAGGGACTTTGGGGCAAGGAGCATGGACACCAAGATACAATTTATGCTGCTTACTATAGTGGTCTTTTGTCTCTAACCCAGGAGTCTCATGTCTTCCCATTTCTAGGCCAGCAAGCATGAAACTGGGCAGCTTAACTTGATAGCCTTCAAGTAGGGTAAATCTCAGCCCCTTCACAATTCCTGGCAACTTGTAGTTAAGGATTGAAGAAAAAAATCCCTGGCTGGCCTAGAAATGGGACTTGCTTTCGGATGGCATAAGTAGAGCCACCAGCTGAGCAACTGCCGTATTCTCAGGTTTCCTGCCCCAACCCCACCTTGCAGAGGTGTCTCACCTGGGAACTCAGAGAGGGTGGTCCACAGCAAATCCATGTAATCCTCCTCACTCAGGTACTCACAGGCCAGGCTGCACTTGGCCTCTACTGCCTTCTTCCGACTGGAGACTGAGGGTGAGAGAGGGGGGGGGAAGTCATTTACAGTCCTGAATGTCACCTTCCTGCTCTCCAAGCCTCCTTCCCTGGTTTGGTTTTGTTTTGTTTTGAGTTGGAGTCTCACTCTGTCGCCTAGACTGGAGTGCAGTGGCCACTCCCAGCCACCGCAGCCTCGACCTGCTGGTT